TGGCTTGGCGCTTCTTGGCGTGAAGACCTCTTCAGAGGCAAGCAAACAACAGTTGCAGGCACAGTCTGAGCCCTGTCAGAGCAAACGCCTTTTCTCCTCCAAATCTGCCACCTCTCTCTGATTGAATCGCTCTGCGGGCCCGCAATCCCTGTGCTCCCAGAAGTAGTCGATTAGAATCGATGGGTGCTGGATCAGTGGAATCTATTTACTTTGCACCAAGAAACCAGAACGGGCACAACCTGCAATCGAACTCTTTTGTGCATGAAAATGCAAGCTGAAACCAGTTCCGTCGACTTGTCCGAAAGCTTCAAAAAGTACCTGCCTTGACCTGCGGCTCCTTCATGAACTCGCGCCAGAATCCGCTTTTCACCTCAGTTCTCGTGGACAAAAAAGGGCGAGGCGTTTCCCCTGAACATCGTGCCCCCAGGTTTGTGCGATTGAAGTTTGGTGAGTCTTGTCCAGGTTCTCGTGGCTGAAATTCAGTGTCCCGCAAGTTTTTGTTGCTGAGCCTCCCAGAATTGCCAATATTTATATATATATATATATATATGCTATAGACAACCGGAGAGTTTGAGTGAACCTCGCTTGTGGCAGAAAGGCCCGCGGCCGGCAGTAGGAGAAAGGTGATCGAGAATTAAGTAGCATGATCTGAACATATTAGAACCCTGCGGTGGACATGAATCAAAGCACGCAGGGCTTTTTTCGGCCAGTTATCATCTTTCGCCTGATGAAAGGAACAATCGTCTAAGGTGACGTCACAACGCCCCCTGGTGACGCTATGATTTACTCAAACAGATGCAACTACCAGCCACCGAGTCATTCGCAGGAACAGTACACCAGGGTGAATTTTGACGGCACGATTCCCGTTACGTGGGTAAAGGGGGTGACTCACCCAAAATGGGGGAATTGTGCCATCTCCTTCGGCTCATCTGTAACTAAGTGAGCTGTGAGCGGTTGGCAGCCTAGAGGCAAAACATGGTGGCGAGCTGAGGGCGGCGCCATGATGAACAGTTTGTGCACGTCCTTGGATTTGCACCCATGCGCAAAATCAGCACTCTCTTCTAGGGCCTACGGGAAACTTCCGCATTCTTGTCAGCGATCCGCCAAGAAGGCTCCGTTCGCATGCACTACCTCAACCATAAGCGGCGTACCCTTTTCAGCTTAAGGAAAACCAAAGGAAAACCACCATAATTGCGGTGCCCTATTGGGACACAATCAAGGCAATCCCCATCTGGTTGAAGTGCTACAGGAGCTCCTTGCAGAGTGACCCTTGCAAGGATGACAAGCAATTAGCACCAGGCTGACCCATTTTTTGACTAACCTCTTCCCCCGGATAAGAAAGGTCCCCTCAACAACATTAGGTTGGTGTCCCAGACTATGTGTAAAATAGAATCTTCCGATTTGAAACCAAGACTAAACTCGCCATTCCTCCGACCGGCCTCTCTGCCTCTTCCAGTCTTATCCCCCTGCCATCAGTCACCAAGCACCCCTTTTGGGCAAAAACTGGTTGCTGCTCCCTGTTGAAATCCTTGCTTAGCAACAAGCATCCTTTAACTGAAGAATAGCCATTCTGAGTTGTTTAAATCCTTTGAAAAAAATAAATCATCCTGTACGAGCAACACTTTATTATTGGACATGACTTCCCCCACAAGTGAACCGAAATATAAATTACACCCCATACCTGGAACTGGGGACCCCCGAATAAAGATTATGTTTCTCCGTTTTATGGCTTTATGATTCGGGCAAAGGGATTACCCCTTAAACTTAAATCCAGTGGCTGATTTCTGCATAAGTCTGCAACCCTGAGTCATGTTTCCATGCGACCTGCAGCCAAGTCTCGATGGGCGCAATGAAGTTCACAAACGCAAAACCTGCCGGAGTATTGCGATGCTCCTGCGGCTTGCACAAAGAAATTCAAAAGGCAAGGTGTCCTTACCACCTGATCTCCTGTGAAATGGTTCGGTCTCTCAGAAACGTGAGCCATGATCCAAACTCCTGTGGGCCATGCTCAGATTTTCCTGCGATGGCTGTCTGAATTCCTCAAAGGTCCATGACGGGCAAGCAGCTGCTTTAAATCGCACGTGTCGTCCACTGGCAATCGTCCTTGCACGGCATGTAGAAGAAAGTGAATCCTCAGCGAGCAGTGCAATCCAAGTCTGACTCAGAGCCACAGTAAGGGGAGCCATGCGAGGTTCGTGGTATAACTTCTTCTATTGGACTGCAATGGCTCCCGTTGCTGTGGAGTCAGTAAAGCTGATCTTCAAATACAGGTAGTTTCCCTGACTATTCAAAGTGGGCAATCTGTCACTAATCACGAGGTGACAACAAATTGCACATAGTTCACTTGCACTTAGTCAGGCTGAAAAGTGAAACGTGCCAATCAAAACAGTGAACATCCCCCAACCATCGCGATCAACATGTGCTCAAAAGTGGTGAGCAAAAGTCACCACAAAAAGGAGCCCGCAAACAACTGCTGAAAAAGGACATGAAAATCAGGCTGCAACACTAAAACTAGCTGCTGCTCAGCAGGCAACCCATCCCTGGTGGTTTCCTTTAAGGGAACCAAAGCCTGGGATGGTTTCAGACAACTCTATCAAATCAAATGGACGTAAGGGTTTCTCGTCGAGACCGTCGGGTCTGAGTCCATGTGTCACAGAATGTGCTGCATGCTCCAAATGGCATGCCATTGTCCAGTTGCCATTGAGTTGTGTTTTGTTGTTTTTCTTGTGTTTACTTGTTGTTTCTTGTGTTGTTGTTGTTTTCTGTTTTGTGTTTTGTTTTGTTCCTTTGTTTTTCTCTGCATAAGAGAGTAGTTGTGACAAAACTTCTGTTGGGGCACTAGTTTAATGATGGTCGGGCCTGCATCAGATTGTTTCCGCACCCCACCCGTCCAAACATGAACCTTGAAGTGCGCAAACCAAACTTTTGAGCACGCGTGTCCTTCTTCTTGCAAAACTTGTCCGCGTTAGTATTTGGTCTATGGCAATTTTGATGGTCACAGCCCACAACCTGAACGGCCCCTTCCCAACGGATAATGGGAGGAAGGGCTTGAACAAATTTCAGCTAAGACTCTTGAAAAGCGGCGAAGCCAATTTTTCTCTTTTTTCCGGGGTCACAACAGGACCCCAAAATTTGGCAACCCAGAAGCCTCAGAAGCCTCAGAAGTCCAGGTTGGGCGATCGATCAGCGACGCCTGAAAAGGGCGGGCGGGTTTCGTCGGGGCACAAAGCAAAACAGCCCCCCCGGCTTTGGAAAACGGCCATCCGATGAGACGAAAAACACTCAAACTTGCCAAAACCTGACGGCAGGTGCCACAACTTGCAGCTTCTCGCGGGATTTCAAGGGTTGAGAACTAAACCGGAAGGAGATCCTCAGCTGGACGGCTCAGTTTGGGGTCATTCCAACTCGTTCCAATGAAGGAAACCCATCTGAAACTCCACAGCTGAGCTCCCGCACGCTCCGACAGACCACACTTCTCCAGGAACATGAGGAATTCCTGGCATCGCACATCCCACGATTTGCACACGGAAGATTTGTGGTTTTTTGGGGGGAAATCTATAGGAAAAAACAAGACGGGTGGGTCTGCCAGGATTTGTCTGCCCTTGTGATTTGGACCTTGATGTTCGGAGCAAGCCCGTTGAATGCAGGTCGCTTCTTGCGCAACACATGTTGGGCCTGTACAGTATGTGCTTTGCGAATAGAGCAAGATATCGGAAGCTCGCCCAAGATGACTTCGCATCTCACGACGCCCCTGGTTTTTCGAGCCCGGTTGGCTCACCGAGACGTCTCTCAAGTAAACCCACAAACGTGGGACGGTACAGACAGAGGCGATCCTCCATCCCCTTGACCCGAGGCATATGGCTGTGGGCCAAAAAACCGGTACCAAAATGGAACCCTGGTAAACAGAAACATGGACCAAAAGCTGCGGTCCTGGCGGCTTAGTTTTGAGCCACACCCATACAGCCCCATCCAACCTTGATCACAAGAAACAGCAGCTATCAGGTGGCTAGCATCAGAAGACGTAAGAAGACACGGAAACGAATCAACGAATACCTAGCCAGACTGAGCTCTGCAATGGTGCTAGTGTATTATTCTTTTCACACATCAAGAACCATCAAACACTTGGAGGGGAATGAACAAGTTGATTCGAAGGGGGAGTTTAAGTGACAGCGCCAGTCCTCCTTGCCCCAACACTTCAGCAACTTCAAACTTCAAACTAGGGTTGGGCCACCTCTCGAGACATCCACTGTTCAAACACCTCCTTCTCGTTCCCTTTGAGTCAGGTTACCCAACCTTGGTGCCCTTCCCATTGCTACGGTCAGGTTCCCTGCTATTCGCAAAACTACTGTACCTTCCTTATGGTGGCTTAAATGGACACGAGCCCAAAGAGAAATGTTCAGAACCCCTCAAATTCAAATTACTTTTCGGGACCCTGCTTCAAACCCAAACTGAGCACTCCGCTCCCCTTGACAAGGCCTTGCGCGCATTGGTCCCCACAATGTTCCTGACCATCACTGTGGTTCGCGAATCCTCTCCTCGCTGGATCCTCGCTGGCGAGAACGAGCCATGGATCACAAGAGCAAGACCTTGAAAACAGGCTCCCAATGCAAAGAATCTCCACGAGCTCCTTTGGCCATGGGTCAAAATCCAAATCGTACTCCCAGTGAACATCCCAATCCCAACTAAAATAGACTAGAATGGATGGTGCAGCGAGAACCCGAAATGGGATCCCATTAGTTTTGACCCACAGCCATTTACCTGGAAAGCTCGCCATAAGATAGACGGGTAAGGATCCAAAGCGGCCTCAAAGGACTCCTTTCCACGCCTTTTTCGCTGTGGATAAAACAACCCAACTCAAACGCTGTGCGCGTTGGAGCCTAAAAATGAGCGAGCCAGTCAAAAAAATAATACTTAACCTGAAAAGCAGGATTGGCTTGCACTGGTTTCGCTTTGAGCGTTGCGTGGAAACGTCCTTTCTACAATGTGAGCGTCAAAATGGGCCTCTCTTTTTGTTTTTAGCTCCCAACATGGTGGCATTCCTGTTGGTTTCCCCTTGAAACCGCAAAAAACGAGGCTCGACTCACATCGGGAGTCACGCTCTCCGGTCTCCTGTCTGGGTCGATGTCGTACTTGGAGAACTCCTTGGTGCTCACCTCGAGCACCCGACCGCGTTGAATCGAAGCTGCTGCTTTGGTAGACATGTGCCGTGGCTGGGCGAAATCCATTTCGCACCACTTTGAAACCAGGAAAAACCATACTTTCTCGGCATTTACAGGAGAGTCATCATTCCAGGGCTGAATGGTAATTCCAGATTTCGTCCACTCTAAGACCTATAGGGAGAGAAGGCATAAGACCCTATGCAGGAATCCCTACCTACCTTCTTCAAGGGACAAATAGGGCGCCCAAGATTTGGATACGCGTCTGCCCCTTTTCGGCAGAGTTGAGTCTTTCAACCTGGTGCATACCGTCCTGACCCATCTGTGTTTTCCGGCCGATTTTGGCGCAGCTTGCGGATCCTGGACTTTGCTGAAACGTAGAAGGGTCTGGGACGGAGCCCCATGACCGACCGATTCTCGGGTGGGATTTGGAGTTGCTCCAAAAGTGTCGATGGCAAGCCCGGAGTGCTTGTCATGAAGTCCAAGAAACGTCAAAAGAAGTGTGGCCAACCTGAAACCTTCTGAAAAATCCCATGACCGGTCTCAACTGTCTCATCTTTCATCTGCCATGGCCATCTTTGTCCCTGGCCATCTTTGGCCCTATCACATGGCCAGGGATGCGCGACGCGCAAAGCGCGCGCTGGCCGCTGTCTGAAGTCCGTCCGGTTCGCTTCGAAACCCCGCGCCTTGGTCCTCACTGGTCGGTTGGTCCCCTTCTCCTTGACAGATGCAATGCATGGGCAAGGGCAAGGAAAGGAGTGCGGAAACTCCTGCCAACATTTTTACATTTTTACATATACATATATATTGTTTTTTTCAACACGAGCCAGAAGAGTATGTAGGTCCTCCAGCAAAGCCGCAACGTCAGCAAGAAGTGAAAACTGTGTAAGACTGCGTAACGCCATTGCCTTTAGCAGGTGATCTATGTGGCTACGCCCCTTCTTCACTGAAAACTTGACGAACTTTAGGCCTGGGGAATTTGGGACAAAAAACCGCAGAAAACTCTGTGGCTTCATTTGCCGAAAACCTGCGCGTACATGAACACGCCACCCGAAAACTCAAGGCTTCTGTAGGCAACCAACAGATGAGGCCCATCTGAAAGGGCCGCGGGTTCCATGTGAGTTGGAAGGAAGTCCTCTCTAAGCTAGAAACTTAGAAGTCCTCCCTAAGTTGAATGCGAAAATGGAAACGGGCCCTACGACTAGACGGAATGGGTCCGATGCCCCGCTGGAATGGTGCGCAGAAACATAACTCAGTCCTCGGCCTCTTCTTGCACCTCGGCCAAAACCGCATGGCGAGCAATCTTCATGGAGAACTTGATATGGGTGTTTCCGAAACCGTGGACCTGCAAAAACGGCTGGAGTCCTTTTTGCTTTCCGTTCAAGAAGGGAGTCTGGAGGGATTGTTCTACCAACTGTCAAGGGGGAAAGGGCAACAATGGGATTTGCGACGCAACAAGACGCAAACATTGAGCTGGCTGTGCGAGACACGTAGGGGCCGGTTGTTTTTTGGGGACGTGTTTTGTTGACTCAAAAGCACCCTTCCCCTCCCCATGTGTATATGTATACGACCGAAAAAACAAGTATTAATAATATGTATATGTATATATATATATATGTATATATACATATGTATAGATAGATAGACAGACAGACAGCCAGACAGACAAACAAACAGACTGACAAATGGATGGATGGGTGTGTATACATATATATATATATATATATATTATAGTTGTATCTATATAAATACTCTTTGACTCAAAGCTCTACATTATTCACCCAAGTGTTGTGGAAGGTCTTCACAAATAAATTGATTAACGAGCTATCAGCCTTGAGGCGCCAACATGTCCAAAGCGCAATGCAGTGGGCAGAAACTATGCAGTGTATGAGGGCCAGAACAAGCCGACTGGAGTCACAGCGGAATCTGAAGCCAAAGCCATGATCACAAAGAATCAGGTGTGCACTTGTTTTGGACCTCAAATTACCAGGCAAGCATGCGAACCTCTCCAGTTCTTGCTTCGCCATGTAGGTGACAAGGCACACGTTCCCTGCTTTCCCCCTAAACCCCAAGTCCCCTTCTCACCCTCTTGCACTCACCTACTTGCACATCTGCCGTTGCCGTGCCGGCGTGCCAGCGCCACATCACCCAAACACAAATTGGCGTTGATTTAAACAGGGAACTCTGCGGAGGGAACTTCATTTACATGAGAATTGTGTGCACCAACCAATAACACCTCTATGGCTACTGACAGCCTCTCTGACGAGACAGCAAAACATACTCCTGCAGCTAGAAAACAACAAGCCCCCTTCCACTGCAAAGGTCACCAAGTTGCGTACATGGCGGGGCCAAATTTGTTTGTCAGTGACGGTGGCTGACTTGATTCTCCCAAGTGGCCTTGGCTTTTGACTCCTTCTGCTTGTTCGCGCGCTCGTCCTTTTTTTCCTCAACCTCGGGTCCAAAATTGTTTGTCACTACACTCAAACCACTACCAGGTCCCGCAGGGCTAAAGGGATACCCAGCCCCTTTTTTGCTACATAAACGGTATCTATCCCTTTTTCCCCTGAGGGGCAGTAGTTTGGGGGGCATCTTAAAGTCTTAGATACGTCCGAAAGCAACAAAATGCGATGAAGCGTGCATCGCAAGCGACAACAATGACCGGTCAGTCAAACGAAAGGCTCCCATCGGATCATGTTATTGCTCGCCTTTCCACGCAGTCCAAATGCACACCTTGGATTTCACCAACCGTTCCGCATCTTTGAAGGTACGGCCCTGCAGCAACCTCAACAACAATTGTGCTTGAAGGCTGAGGGCTGTGAACGCTCTCCTTACCCATGTCACCTTGCCGATTCCCGCTGAAAGTGGGAAATCTTGCTGTGTAATGGCAGCCAGTGGTGAAGTTTTATAACGGTACATAAATTGGACTGCTCTGATTGTTGGATTTGCTCGGGAGTCCAACTTAGCTTGGCTAGGCACAGTCTACAATCTGGCGCTGTGCCCCCCGTGCGGTTGCGTTGGAAATCGGGCGTGGCAACCAGCACGCTGCACACACACACACACACAAGCTGTCTGATGTGAAATGCGCCTGCATGTGGATCCGTCGCGTACTGAACGGGTTCGAAACACCTTCGGCCACCTCTGGCAAAAAACACGTGGCGGCTACGCGTGCGCAAACGAATCATATCAACACCAACTTTTGACGCGGCCCCATCCCTCAAAAAGCCAAGGCGGCGTTTGACTGGGAGCCCGGCAGGTGAAGGCCCGGGCATCCCCTCCTGCCAGGAAACTCGGAGGACTGGATCGGAGACCAACCAGGGAAAAGTTTGCCAGCTTGCCATGGTCCATTTCGGGCCCGGAAGACGGCTGTGGGTCAAAAATAGGAACCCAAAATGGAACCCTGGCAAGAAGCATGGACCAAGACCTGGCTTAGTTTTTACCACTATTGATCAACCCCCCAAACACCAACCAGACGGTCCCAAGCCCGCGGTTTTTTGGGGTCTTAGCCGAAAGCCGGTCCTCGGCTCCCAGAGGCGACTGCAATCCAAGCAAACCTGGCGCGAGGTTTGAAGCCGTGAAAAGATCGGAGGTCAAAAGAGCGGAGTTGGAGTGGAATTGAGCTCCGGAGTTGAGGTGCAGTTGGGATGGAGAAGTGGAGTGCTGGAAATACTGCCTTGGACACTCCTCTCTCCTGGCGAAGCCCCAAATTTTGATTCCCTGTGGCTTCCCCTTCAACCACCCAGGGGACATCAGCGGAGCAAACCACGGAGCCGAGCCTTGGGGAACAGCACTTGGGAGGTTCCTGGCGCGTGGCTGGATCCCTCAGCTACATGTTTTTTTTGGTGGGGCATGACATAACTAGCCTAAAAAGGACACCTAATGTTTGCAACTCGAAAACTCCAACAGACATCCAGAAAATATGTTGGGCTGACTGGGGAAGCGCCCAGGGATCAAGCTTCTTTCAGGACTCCCTGGCGAAGTGAGCTCTCCCCTCGAAACCAGAAAAGCAACAAACAATATGCGCCCCTGGAAAGGATCTCTCTCTCTCTCTCTCGCGCTCGGCTATCACAACTGAATGGTACACTTGCAAGGCGCCCCTTCTTAGCTGCAACCAGTCACCTGGTCGAGGCCCGAACTAACCATAGGCTCCTTTCCCCCAGAAAGGTTTGCAGAACCCTCTGCGCTTGGGCCCCGAGCCAAGTGCCCGCACTCAGGGAGGAGAGAAGGGAGTTGGCCGAGCTGTTCTGATCCTCGGGCGGACTTGCTGGGGCTCCAGGAAGGCCCCGTGGAAAAGACGAGATCAAACCCAAGCGATGGGCGGTTTGGCCAACCTGGAGATGCGCTGCTCCCTTCTTGGCTTGGGCGCGTTACAAACCGCAAGAAAAGCCCCGGAAGGCGCTTTGCCTTCACTGCGTGCAACCGCCAGAAAAGTCTGCGGTGCGGGAAGGCCAACCGAGGACCCAAAGGTCTCCTGGAGGATGTGTGGAACCCGCCAGAGGGTCCTTCTTGAAGGAAGCTGGTCCAGTGGCAAATCATTTTTGGGCATGGTGCCTTTTTGCCTAGGGAAACCACAAAAAAGGTTGTTAGCAGTTGGTTTAGGGGGGTGGTCCAAATTGGCTTTTATTTGAGAGCCGGGGCCCTGTGTTTCAGGGCGGAAGACTAAGGCTCGTTGCTTCATAGAGGGGGGTGCAACCCCTTTGATAGGCACTCACATGAAAACCAATTTGACCACTCTTTCAGGGTTGCGCCAACTTGATTAAAGCGGCTCTCTTCTCCAAACAACCTCCTGGTGGGCAAAAATACCTGGTTGGAAAAAAGGGTTGAAACAAATCAATGCACCAACATAGACGCACCAACTTCGCAACAACTTTGATAGGCAGTCACCTAGTTCTTCCCCCACCCACCCCCCACTTCCCCCACCCCCACCCCACCCCACCCCCAACCCCCCACCCCTTCAGTCACCTGGTTGACACCAACTTTCCCCCACCCACCCACGATTTGGGCAACGCTTTGGGCCCCAGACAGGGGTCCAAGGCATTGCCGTGCCCTGGGCAGCAGCCAGCAGCATCTAAGCCAGGCCGACGGGGGCGAGCCCTGGTGAGGATACACATGTAAACGCATGTCAAGTTCTTTTCATGGGGGACAATTGAAAAGTGGACAGTTAGGTGGGGTTTCATGCCCACAAACCACTTGGCTTGAAAACATGGGTGTGACTTGGTTCATTTGATGCCCGGGCGAAATAGCGAACATTTCACCAAGCAATTATGTTGGAAAATTGGTTTCCTGTCCCCCATCTCCCCAAATCAAGAATGCACTACCAGTAGTTTTGGCTCGTAATCCATGGGAGGGCTGATGGGTCATAGCGGCGGGAAACAACAACCGTTCACACCAGGAGGGAGTGAGAGAGGAGAGAAGGGGTCGTTCTGGCAGTTGGAAAGTGCTGATCTCCCGCAATTCCAGGGTTGCTACCTCTGACACCCAGCAAACCCTCTGACATTGGCCCGTCTTCCAGAAAACAGCGCTCCTTGCGCGCTTGAACCTAGAAGCATGAGATGCCAGGGAGTTACTAAGTTATTATGCCATGTTGTTCCCTATCCTGCCCTAATTCGGTTCTGAGGCACCCCTCACCCCCCATTCCACTGATTTATTTCGCACTAGTGAGCTTTGGGGCCATGGGTCAAAACCCAAATCGTACCCCCAGTAAAGATCCAATCCCCACTAAAATAGACTACAATGGGTGGTGCACCTATCCCAACATGGGATCCCATTGGTTTTGACCCGCAGCCATGCGTGCTCAGCCCCTGCCTGCGCTGATCGGATGTCATAGAACTCCACAATGGCGTGGCCGTGCGACGCACTGATGTGAGCAACCTTTCCCCAGGAAAAACGACAACTTGGCGCCACTGACACCTGACTACTCGGAAACAAGCCTTTCTGAGTGGGATATCCATGACCACTTGGGTCACCTTCAAGGGAACTGGTGTCACAAAGAGTGGCCCTAAATCCAAATGTCCCACAACCGTGGGAACTTGAGTGCGGGCCAGCCCGCTTGGAAGAATAGCTTGTGTTGCAGCTGAAGCACAAGTTCGGAGAGGAAGGAAATCAAAGTACCAGAAGGGGCCCCAGGTTTGACCAACATATGTACGCCACGGTCAAGATATGTGGCCCCTGTAATGGACATGGCAAAATGAGAGAGCCAAATTGACATCATGGACATCTGTCTTTGGTTGAAGCTCTTGTTGGTTTGCGCCTGATGCGGGCAAAGGCCCCAAGACTATTCTGTACCAAGCAGGGTTGTGCCAACCACTCTTGCTTTTTCCGGAATATATGTGACTCCATTCGACAAACACTAGGATCAAGAAAAGCAAGCAACGGCGCTTCTCGTTTCATTTATGTGGTATGTTAATGTATTTTCCTAGCTATGTGTTTTGCAGCAGTTCAAAGGCTTGTCTAGGAGAGTGATAAATAGAAAAAATGTGAAAGTGATAACAACCGACTTCTATATACTCATATGATTGATTTATTGCGTATACCATTGTGGTTATTTTGTTCCTATTCAAATCGTATGATTCCTATGTTATTCCCATAAAAAGGCTTCTTCTATGTTCAGGGGGTCAAACGGTGTATCCGTGAGAAACGCAACGGCCTAGAAGGGGGAACAGCTAAACCACCAATAAAGGACAAATACACTGTAGGAAAGAGACAACAGTCACGATTAATTTATGTTCAAAAATATGAGAGAATCATTAGAACGAAGACTTGGAAATCTTCTCAGTTCTCTACAGTATCTCTCTTTCCTATCTCTATCTGTCTCTTTCATTATTGACTTTGTTTAGTTCTTCTTGAACAAGGCCTTTATGTCGACGTACAAAAAGATATAGCCAAGGAAGGACCTCAGATGAAAGGATGAGATTTGTGCTTTGAGCATTTGCCATTGTCCAATCCGTAGGTTGTGAGCCCATAGAATGAGGGCTTGGCAGCCAGGCGAAGGCGGAAGGCCACCATGGCGAGGTTTTAGGAGATGGAGATTGGTTGGAGTACCGGTTCCAGATCGGATCGGCGCGACCAGCTACTGTTGCATTGGGAGTACCGAATCCCCGGTCGGCAAATCTGGATCAGCACCCGAGCGCTTGGATTGTCTGCAGCTCGTCCGCAAGAGCGCCTAAGAAGTGGGATTGTCCAGCTGGCTGGGGAGACCCAGCCTCTGAAAGAGGAAATGCAACCATGCTTGGAGAAGATGTCGAATGTGAACCGCGGCTGGCGACGGTGCGAGAAAACTTCGCCAACGAGGGAGCAACCGGGCGGCAATACGTGCAAGGATGGCGTTTTCACGATGAAAATGGAGTATAGTTCATTGATGACCTGGTGCCCACAACAGAAATGCGAAAGCTATGAGGGACATCCAAAAGGAGCACCACGCGAGTGAGGAGCGTAAGATTGAATATGTCACCGATCCGGAGGCGGAGTGCGACCTGTCGGCTGGAAGCAGACGAAGTTGAGGAGTCCCGGAATCTCCTGCTGCCCCTTGCATTCTTGCAAAGGTGCCCCCCCCCCCGTCGGCACCGATGACCCGAGCTTGTGCGCCGACACCAAAAAGCCGAGCGCCGTGTTTGCGGCTTGGAGAGGAGTCATCGCGTCATTGGCGTTCAGAGAGGCCTACCGGAAGATGATCGCCCCGATGGGAGTGCGAGTTAAGATACATCTGAAGCGAGGCCAAGTACTGGGCTTCGGCAGGTACCGACATACCGACCAGGAAGATCTTCCAGGGCTTTCTTCGGCCAGGTAGGCATAGCTTGATCCACTACGTAAGCTCCCTGCATGGGTGATACACAAAACACGCCCTCGAGAAGAACAAGGTGCTGCGCTTCCAGTTTCCAATCCGTAGCTTTAATCCAACTCCTGTTGGTTTCCCCATGATCCGTTTGATTAACCAGACTTCGCTTAACCCTGGTACCAAGTGCTAAGTGTTGCGCAAGTTCCGCGTCTTTCTTGCGCAAATCAACATCCGGATCGGGCCCGAAGGCACAAAGCGAGGCACAGGACATGGCAGGACATCTCCCTTTGGAGTCATGACCAATCCGTCGGCGGCTTTGGTTTCCGGCAGGGTTGCGGAAAAGCTCCGAACGAAATCGGGCAACGACGGGGCCGCTGCATGAACAAACCCGCCTCAAATCATTGGTTCCAAGCCCCTGTAAATTGTGTGCCAGAATCCCCGCCCGCTTCAGATTCCCTCTTAAATGGGAACCTTTAATTAATTGACCAGAGGTTTATGAATCCTGGGTGACCGTTACCCAACCAGGCTGAGTGGAATCGGCCAACTGGTGCGCAGGCCTCACCGAACTGGTTGAAGCCACCTCGAACGTGGTCCACCTGCCGAACACAAGCGAGCCAAACGAATCGCGCTACGGACATGGGTATCTTGCTGCACTAAGACCGGAGCTTTGTCGAGATTATGTCCACCAATCAGTTCCCAGAGTGTTCCAGCAATGAAACCTTCATCCTCCCAGGTTATTACGGAAGCGCAATTGCCAGGGCAAAAGACACAAATCTCCAGGCCCCATATTTATGGTCACCGGTCTCATTCCGGCTCCCCTCTTATGATCAAGCGGAAATTGGGCAAATTTCCCCCATCAAGAGCCAGGTTGACCTGAGCGATTTCAACAACTGGCACTCTAACACGCCTGCAGCAAGTATGGAACACCTGCCGTGTGGTCGGGACGGTCCTCTACTCCCTGCGACCACCTCTTGTGGCGGATCACATGCTGGCCCCTCAGCCGCCCCGCCTCTTCGGCGAAAGCTGACAGATTGACACCTCAAAAAATGCAGCTGGACTCAGCGGCCCGAAACCCTGAATACACCCACTGTAAGGGGATGTGAAAACGGGGAAGTCGAGGAAAATGAAAGGGAGAAAAGGGGAGAAGGGGAAATGGGGAAAGGGGGAAAGGGGAAAGGGGAAAGGGAAGAAGGCGGGGAAAAAACAAAGAGAGAGAAAAAGGAAAGACGCGAAAATATCTGCGAAGGCAACAAAATGAACCCAGGGCGACAAAAGAATCTCCTAAGCTTTGGGCAAGTCCGCGCCTTCAAACGCGCAACGGAAGGCCTAGCGGGCGCTCTGCGAGGAAGCGCCTCTGTGTCTTCTGCGCAAGCAGCAAGGTCCCTTCTCCCGAGATGCCTTTACCGCGACACGACGCAATTGTCTGGGAGATGAGTTGGGCAAAGGAAGGGATTGCCCGACCGTGCCCAAAGCACTGCGCCCCATTCTCCAAAGCACTGCGCCCACAAAATCTGCACGCCTAGCTCGAAAGTCGAGCCCCTGCCACGACATCTGCACGACTAGTTCCAAAGCACTGCGCCTGCCACGACATCTGCACGCCAAGCCTCCAAAGCGAATCTGCACGCCAAGCTCCGAAGCACTACGCCTGCAATGACATCTGCACACCAACCCAAAGTGACGGGCTTGCCACGATGTCTGCGCTCACGCTCCAAACACTGCATCTGCCACGCAATCTGCACAAACAGCTCTATATCAAGTGCTGGGGAACATGAGAAAAGGCAAAATATAAACAGAAAAAGTGGAAAGAAAGCAGAAAAATACAAAAAGGAATAGGGGAAGGGAAAAGTAGAAAAGGAAAAAGGAAAGAGGGGGAAAAGATAGATATGGGGAAAAGGGGAGGAGTGGAAAAGGGCAAAAAGGGGAAAGACGGAAATGGGAAATGGGGAAAAACGTCAAACGGGAAAATTGATATTTTAAAATTGGAAAAGGGGGAAGGGGGGAGGATGAGGGAAATGGGAAGAGGGAAAATGCGAAAGGGGAAAGGGAAAATGGGAACAGGGGAAAGGGAAGTATTCTATCTTTCTGCCCTTTGCACCAATGATATGCAGCTCCTTTCATCAGAAGCCGATGGATTTTCAGAAGGTGCTCCAAAGCGATATCCACTTTGCTGCGATGTTCAAAGAATGCGGATTCGCTTCTCATCCGAAATCCGTGGCACCCAAAAGACTTTATTCGGTTATGTTTTCAATCCAACTCATTGTTGTTCGGTGATGTTTTCGACCCATGCAAAAAGCGGCCGGGAACCCTGAGGATCACTTGACTTTGAACCCAGAGAGGACTTGCTGAAATCCTGGCTCGGACCCGGGCGGACTGTGCGGATGTCGTGCGCAGCCTACGGGCTGGGTGCGGCATCTTCATATGCGACAAAAGCTTTGGGGGGCATCCGAATTTGGTGGGGCTTCATGTCCAAAAAGCACTTCTGAGGTACCCTGGCAAGATTCATGGCCATATGCGCGGGTGACATCAAGCGGGGGTCCTTAAATTGCCTGCAAACACGTCGCAATCAAACGGTGAGGGGCTTGAAGCGATGTGAAGCAAGGCAGGGGTTGATCGGAAATCCTGCAACCAGCTAGGCTTTCAATGCGCCTCAGGAACTCCTTCGGAGAGGAATGTGCGCAGTCAAACTTTCGCGCGGGCACGGGACAACTGACAGAATTCCTTGGCTTTGAGAAATATCTGCCCATGTCCCTTCCCAATCACTTCTCGGTTGCGAAATCTGCTCCCCTGCCAAAAGTTTTTTTAACTTTTACTGGTTTAATACGGAAAACCCATTTGGCAAAAAGTTGTTCAGTCCTAACACCAAAGGCGAGCGCCATCTCTTGTGCTTTTGGGCGGAGCTTTCACCTTGGGCTCCTTCAGAAGGCCACTGGAAATCCGTCATCTCAAGGAACTGGTCTGACAGTCTGGAAACCTCGACCCCGAAAAAGAGAAAAAAAAGCTGGCGCGGAGCGGCGTTGACCTCAAGCGCCTCTAGACTGGCCTTAACTCAAGCCCTAAGCCAAAAAGCTAAGGAACCGGATGGCTGGGAACCAACAAGTATGGGACAACCCCCCCACCAACCGATCAACTAGGGACTTATGAACCCCCGGTTCCGATTGCTCCGATTGCTCACCGAGCCCCCACTTTGAGGCTTGGGGCCAAGCTAGTCAAACATGCTTCAACCCCTACTGCTTGACAACCCCCTTTTTGGGCTTCCCTGAAAAAAAAAAGGGGGGGAGCAGATTTCGCCCCAAGCCACTACAAGACAAGTTGACAAAGCCTGGACACAGTCCTTCAAATACAACTACATCTATCCGGGGATAGGCCAAACTACCTGAAATGGAAGCTCTTCCCATGTTCGGAAAAAGGACTGGCACTGGTAACTGCGCCGGCCATGTTCAAGCAAACCCACCAAAATGTACATCCATGCAAGCGGACAGTATTACATGGTTCTTGTTTCGCCAGGCCCCGTATTTTTGCGCCGGAAATTATGGATATTGGGTCCCTTAAAAGTCCAACGGAACAACAGGCCATCAGTCATGTGAGTCATAGTCCAAACCCGGTAGTGAAACGATCTACCCAGAACCATGTTGGGATTGCCCCTTACTAACCTTCATCTAACCGGGTATTGATTGTGACTCATGTGCCTGCGCCGCCCACCCACGAGCAACTCCCCTCCCCCCGAACTCCCGCCGGTGGAAACGGCTCGCAGCGGCCAGGGCTGGAGAGCATGAGGCGTTGCGCGCAGCGGACATCGAAGTACGTGACCAAGACGCACCTCCAAAAGTCAAAGGGAAATACTGTGGATGGACAAAATCCATTTCGCACCACATTTCAAAAACCCTGGAATGAATGATTCCCCCTGTAAATACCAACAAGCAATGGCTTCCCATGGTTTCAAAGTGGTGCAGGATTTCGTTCGTCCACGGTATTTGGGAGGCGCGGGGATTTGAAGGGAACCATTGACATCGTTCCGTGGGGAACTATTGACCAAGGAAAGTCTCGATCGGGGAACATCGACACGCCTTGAACCGGTGAAGTCAGCGAGCAGGCAGCTTAAGCCCCGGCTGAAATGGGATTGGACCCCGCCCAACGAGGCAAACGACCACAAGAAACTGTGATCTCTGCATCGACAACTGGTGGATAAACATCTTTATGACACAAATATGGCACAATCACCTGTGTGGTTTCATGTCAAGTCTTGAGAGGGCAAGCCTGACCTTTGGACACTCTCAAAATGGAGGACTTGCACAAATGCTGCCGTCCCTGATTCCTTTGCATCTCACCCCACCAAAAGGGAGAAACCTTTAGACTAAATCGATTAAGGGACCCCCAAAATGTCTTCGTTACGTGTTTGTCCTGCTAGTTTTTTCGCTGTAGACCCAGAAACGGGGTACAAAGCACCAAAAACACCGCCGCGAGGCACGGAGCCCCGGAGACCCGGAGACGCGTCCCTGCGGCCCTGCCCCCCCCCCCCCGCCGCGCAATGGTGGCGAGGCTCGTGTCCAGCCTCTCGGAGGGCAAAATGGAACTTGCTTGGCTTGAAGCTTGAAGGAAACCTGGACACCCTGGAATGGGGAAAAAATCAAAGGTCTAAAGAACATGGGAAAATCCGAAAGGAACACCATGGAAACCTGGAACATCCCAAAAGGTCTGGGAAATCCATGCAAAAAGTCCAAAAAAGGGCAGCCGGGGGTCGTTGAAGCGTAAGAAAAGAAGACTTGCTTTGCTAGCATCCCTGGCGTTGTGGAGGGTAGCTTCTATGGCATAGCGAAATTTAACCACCCCAACTTGAGAAGATGCAGTTGGGTCGAGCAGCGCAATTCTTCAGAGCTGAGTCAAGGAGAAATGAGCTGGGGGCAGAATGTGATTGAAAAAATTGGTCAACCTTCAACCCTGAATCTAGAACTCAAATCCAGGGCAATGATGCAAGACATCACCAAACGTTGACCCGGATTTAAGACAATGTCCAATTGTTCACTCCGGGGTACATCGCGTCCGGACATTGATGAATGTAGCCGAAGGAAAACAGGGCAAAAGAGGTAGCCATCGTTCCCATGGAAGTGAACCGGGGCGACCTCCACTTCAAAAAATGGTGGTCCTCCCAACCCCTCCGATTGCCCGCTTCCAGTGGCAGGTCATTGCATAGGTGCGTCGAGCCTCATTTATCGGGCTTGCTTGAAAAGGGAGCCGAATTGGAACCGAGCCTTGGCAGCTCGAGTTTGTCACAAGCAGAGCCCAATGTACCCGTTTGTATAAGAGGCTTGCTAAGAGCCCGCTTCCATGCGATCCTTCACGGCTTGCGGCACCTGTTCACGGCTTGAAGTGCCCTCACGTCGCCATGAAACCCAGAGAAATGGTCCCTCGAGAAAAGCGGTCTTCCAAGACTGTCAAGCTCCATGCTAGCAGACTGAACCAACTGCCAAGGCGGAAACCAAGCAGAGCTCACAAAAACCTGTCCACTGCAAGCTTTCCAGCTGCCCACCTTTTACCTGTTTGATCTGCAATGTCGACCGTGAAAATCATGCTGGAGTTGCGGGGGTGTTTCCCCGAAAAGTAAAGATTTGCCACACCCTTCTTCATCAAGGTGTGTCCAATCCTTGGTTCCCCTCCTATGTCCGAAATGTCATTTGAGGGAACCCTTCTTTGGGTTTGCTTTCAGGGGAATGCGAGGCAAAACCACCGAAGCCCATCGTAAGCAAACCATTCACACCATCGATCAAAGGGGCCTCAGCTGAAAAATGCGTCTTTGCTTGTCCTAGGGCTGAGGAGATCCTTAAACAGAAAGAATGAAAGAGAGAAAGAAAGAAAACTAGAAAGAAAGAAGAAACAAAAAACAATGAAAAAAAACAAAGAAAACAAGCAAGCAAGAAAGACAGACTGACTAAAAGAAGATCTGCGGATCAGGGAAACACTCAGGGATGAGAACTCTAAAAGGCGATCGGGTCCCATCGAATCCCCACCTTGCAATCTCGCCAAAGTCTGACAGGTCCTGCGCACTGAAGCAGCGTGGCGGAATCCAAAAGAAACATGCACACATGCACCTTGTTCATAACCCTTGCAAATGAGTTCTGGACTCTGGCCAAAGGCGGTCCGCAAACGTTTTGATGGACGGCAGGTCGGTATTTTGTGGGCGTCTGTGGGTGCTGCCCAATTCACAGCAAGTTTTGTGGAGGCAAAAACAACTAACTTGCTACGCCTGTGGACAATATTGCCTCAAACATGTCACAAATGAAGCAAGGGGCCAGTCACCTACTGACTTACTGATTTGCAGACTCAAGCGTGAACCGGACATAAAGTTGCATGCCGGCGACAGGGCCAAACCACCAATTGTTCGCTGTGATAAGTCTTCTGTACATGTCCTCAATCAGTGCCTCCATCCCCGTCCCTCCTTCACTGGCTTCTCGTGGACGGACGGCCAGTGTCCATCGGGGTCACAAATGCAGACCTGAGTAAAAGGCAAGTCACATGAAAGCTCTCTTTTTCCAGACTCGTTCATGAGCTGAACAGAGAAAGTCAAGAAATTTGCCTGAAGGAGCTCTGCCCAACAAAAAAAAGAGATCGGTGCCACTGCTTGGGACGCATGGCTCATGTGAACGTCCGGGAGGCTCAACACCGCAAAGCGAAGGGTTCTGTCAAGCCAACAATACTCTCAGCAACTTGCTAAAGCACGCAAAACGACAGTTGCTCATGTATGTGTTTGGCCAAGTTGAGGTGGATTGGCATGTTCTTCTGCTCCTCTGCTTGCAGTTCCTTGAGTGTCCATTCAACCCACTTCCAACACAAGGAGTAGCCCGAAACTGGGAAGCTGGTGATCTCAGGCCGATCTGAAAGAGTTCACTCCCCAATTACATGAGCCACGATCATTGCTGTTTTTTCCCCCCTCCCATCAGACGGACAAATCCGGACTCGTCCCCTTGCGGCCCGGAGCGAGGGAGCGAGCCCAAGGCCTTGGGTCCCCGCAGTGTTGGAAAGAGACGAGGTGGAACCTGAGCCTCGGAATGCGGCCGGCGGCTTGCGAAGTCTGACTTCGGGCTTCGGGTTTCGGGCTTTAAACTCCCTGAAACATGTTCTGTTCTCGAGTGAACCGAACGATTGTTGCAGGCCCCAGGCAAAACCGGAAGGAATTGCCCCCGATGGCCGGGTTCTCGAGATGCGAAAGGACGGAGGGATCACTGGGTGGGCACCTGCCCTCAGCCTTCAGCCTTCAGCCTGCCACCGGCCCGTGGAAAAAGTGGCCGTTTCAATGTGGCCTCGAGACATGTGGCCATGGGTCAAAACCAATGGGATCCCATTTTGGGATAGGTGCACCACCCGTTTTGGTCGAGTTTGGGGATTGGGATGTTCACTTGGGGGTACGATTGGGTTTTGACCCATGGCCATGTATCATCCTCTCCTTTCGAAGCCGCTACCACTTCTCAAGCCGCCACTGCCAAGCTGTCCACAGCAGTCCGTTTCTGCGGAACCGCAAACATTTCCAAGCAGGACGCAGCACCAACCTCCAAAAAAAAGAACATACTTCTTCCAAGAAAAGATGGCTCTGCATGCAAAAAACAAAGCCGCCGCCGCCCCCCCCCCCCCCCCCCACTTATTGCCAAATCCACTTTGATGATAAAGAAACAGTTTAGCCCTCACAATCGAGACAAGCCCAGAGGACTCTGACGGTATTCACCTGCTTTCTAGCTTCCCTTACGGCGGCTGGGCCGTGACGGAAGTTCCTGTTGCCACACCCGAACTGTCTGAAACCAACCTCAGCAACAGTTGATCCCCCTGAAGCTGAAAGCAAGTGAAGCAAGAAGCACCAGGGTGTTTCTGCAAGAAAGTAAACAAAGACGACTGACTATGTTCAACCCTCGTCCGCATCAGCCCTCTGGGATGTCCCCCCATGCCAAGCAGCTGTTGTCTGCCATGGGTGCTGCAATGGGTGCGGAAGGCTTCAGAAACCTCCGCGAAATGAAGGGAAGAAACCGTCACGTGCCGCTCGGCCGTGTTAAACTAGAGGGGCCTGTGTGCGTGTGCGTGTCTGTCTGTCGTCTTCTTCAAGCCACGATGTGTTGCTCTTGGAAGAAACAAACACCGCTCAAAGACGGCAGCTGCAAAGCACGGCGTGGCAGGTATCAGGGTGGGTCAAACAGTGTGTAACCCCCAACCCCTGGCCTCCTCAAAACACAATGCAAAAAAAGCAGGAGGATGTTCCAACAGCGGTTTCAAGGGAAGCCCAACCCGAGCTATCTTATTTGGGCCACGGGTAGCTTTATTTGTGCGTCTCCGGGTGATCGCCGCCCACAAGCAATCAAGACAACCGACGTGAACTCCCGTAGTCCTCTGAGCTTCAAGGCGCTGGGAGATCTTTCAACGAAATGGAGGAACAGCCGAATCGAGGTGAGAGCTGAGATTCGTAGTTCTGACAAAAGACCTATGTCAAATGACCGTTCTCCTTCAGCAGAAATGAAACTAGTCGTCTTCGTGATTGATTTCAGGATGATGAAGTACTAAATCGGCGTTTGCGTTCCACTGCCGAATCGTTTCAATGGCAGGAGGGAAAAACGGGGTTAGACGAATAAGATCCTTTGACCCCCCCGCTGCCAATGCAACTCGCAGACTGTACCGTTTCACTTTCGAGGTTGTCATCCGATTGTGAGCTCAGTCGACAGTAACCGGAAAACCTATAGTTTAAACCTTTGCCATCCCTTCACAGAACCCCAGATCGCACCAATGAAATCATGCCAACTGATTCACAAGTGCACAGGATGATCCCTATAGGATATAGAGTTTGGAATGCCACCAAAAAGTTCCAAGGCAACATCAGGTCACAAAAACAGGCCGTGTCAAAGGTACCAACCCCATGAAGATGCCTAGAGGAAACTCAGAAAAGCCCGTTGCCAAGGCCCGGATCAAACACTCGTCCCGCCAGATTACCGAGCCCAAAATTGGGGGGGGGGGGCACTCACAAAAGGTGAAGCTCCATAGCACCAGAGTCAGTTTGCCCCAGCCTTCGCCCAACCAATCTGTAGTGAGCCTTCAAAACAAAACTAAAACACCAGAACAACCAATCCTTTGAAACAAAACCAAACAACCAGAACAACCAATCTGCAGTTAGCCTTTAAAACAAAAACAACCAGAATTCATACCTTGTTGCATAGTAAGAGATCTCTTGACACCCCGCCGGGAGCTCCACATCGCTGGTGCCGTCCTGACCACGGCGCAAAGCAAAGCGATTCCCGTGGGATGGGGGGGGGGGTTGCTCCAGTGAAGCATGTTCACCTGTCTCAACCTTTTTCAGTGCTTCGCCGATCCCGCGCCGATAAAAATGAAAAGTTCTTGCAGTGCAATACGGCATAAATCCTTCGAAACTCTAGAATTCTACAAGCCTACAGTCAGAGTATGGCTAGAACTTTCGGTGCCCAGCTCGGTTTCGGACCCTTCACCATCCCTGCCAGTCCCTTCCCCAAACCCAAGCCAGTGGCCCTTGTCCTTCAAGCTGGCAATGGGAAACCGGCAAACCTTTACGGCTTCACTTTGCGAACCGAAACTGCGATTTGCCCGAGTCAAGGCGAGTTGCATGCGTTCACGTGTGCTGCGCGGCACAATGCAACATATTGCAGCAGCACAGCGATATCAAAAAACATGGCCCTTGGTATTACAGTCCTATGTGTTTTTCTCAAGCGGAATAGAAGCAACCGCAACTTTTCGAAATTCCAAATAGCAAAAAGGCAGAAACATACTTTGGAATATGTCACTACAAATTGACAAGCACTGGCGTGGAAACAGATCAGGCGTTGCAAAAAGCCGGCTTATCAGATACCTGGAAGTCCCCAAAATGTCCGCCTTTTGCACAAAAACTGTTGCTTTAGTTTAGAAACAGAAACTTCTGCCTCCAGGCGTGTTTTGGGGAAAATGACTTGTTGCAAGGTCAAGCTGGTCGACTGAACTTTACCAACGGCGTTTTTCGCCAATCAAACGGCGTTTTTTGCCGTTCACAGAAGTTCCTGAATATTCACGGATTGTTCCAACGGCGTTTTTGGGGACCAAACGCGTTTTTTTGCAGCAACGGCAAAAATAGTGCAATTTCAATCAGCGGCAGAAATTCAGCACCCTGGACTTTCCACAAATCATCAATGTGCAAAATCGTGGCAAAAAATGAGTGGAGCAGACTTGGCGGCGCTAACAAAAGCACACCAAGGTCTGATTTGTTCAGCAGGTGCCGAGCAATCGCGCAAAGTGTGCTAAAACTACTACGCTCCTAAGCTCCACCAATTTGAAAAAACGCAAATCGCATGGATGCATGGGAAGCATTCTCAAGAGCGATTGAGGGAAAACAAACAAACAAAAAACACAACCTTGTTAGGGTGCCCTTTGAGACGGCTAGGCCATTCATGGCCACTAACAGAAACAAGCGCTCCTGACGCAAAATTGGTCATTGAGCGGCGCAGCCACTGGTGTTGCTCACCGACCGCAAAAATATCAACAACCAAAGCGTGTACTGACGCGGGCAGTTCATAAAAACAGACGTGAAACTGCAGACCCCGGCGGCTGCAGTATGCATCCAGCCTCAGGAAACATCTTGCCTGTGAGGAGGACATTGCCAAGGCACAAGCAAACTATGGCACAGAGAGGAAACTCAGGGCAACCACAAAAGAGTACCACTGATCCAAAAAACTCTCAGTATCAGCGACTGCACATCTGTGATTCTCCGGGCACGGAAAAAACTTCAAAGCCGACCAGCTAGAAGGTGACCCGGACTTTTGTGGCTCCATGCAGCCATTTGCCATCACGCAGGTCCGAAGTTTTTGCGTCGAGACCAGATTCGAAAACAAAGAGCCGAGGAAATTCACAACCGAAACAAAGAAAACACGGAACCAAACCGCAAAACAGCACAACCAGAACAAACACACAGAGCATTTCCTCGGCTGAAAAAAAAACAAAGGTAGAACTCACAGAAGCAACCAGCACAACGTTGATTCTTCTCACTGGAGCCAACTAGGAAAAGCCGCAAAGTCTGTCACCAACGCTGTCTTGGCAACCTGGGCCAGGTGCACTGTCACAGCTCTTACTGCTTAGCGATCAAATTTCTGCAAACAGCCACGGAGATTGCGATACTGCACAGGTTCGATGTCGCCGGGCAGAGGATCGGCAGGGAAGGGGGCGTTGCCAGCCCGTTGCGCCTGCAGCGCACCACGTCCACGCCGACGTGCAAAGCGTCCCTCTTGCACCTGCGCCCCGAAGAAAAGGGGAGGCAGCTTGGGGCTCCGGGCGTGCTGCCATCAGGGTCCCAATTTGAGTGCCGCAATATGGCCACCAATGGCAGTCTTGTGCAAATATTTTCGGTTTGTCCAACGTACCGTGCACGACGAGAACCACAGAGCTGGCCATAATACCACTCACGATGAGTGTCAGGATTCCACTGTCTGCAACTGCAATTCCAGTTGCTCATGACAAGAAATCGTAGAGAAAATGCAGATCGCCAGTGTGATTCTTCTGCGATGGCTCCTCTACTCGCTCTCCGCCGAAACCTTTCCAACAGAGGTCTCTTCTTGGTCCAATTGATCTTCTCAAGTTTCAAAAAAGTGCGCCAAATGTTCACATCTGTTTGTGGAATATATTGCAGGCGTTTCGTGCTCTTGCACCTTGGTCCTTGAACTTCGGAGCGGCAGTGACCTTCTGAAGTGTTGACGGCCGTGAGCAAATGTGGCCGGAAGTTTGTTGCACTGTGTGACTGGATTCACCATGGCGCCAGCAGGGCCTCAAAGTGCTGCCAACGCTTATTGGGAAATGCATGCTCATCCATTGACGCCTGTGAGCAAATGTGGCTGGTGTTCTTTGCAGCGCTCTGCGTTTTCATTCACGCACGAGCGCCATGCCTGACTCCAAGCATTTGCAAATCCAAATGGCCCTGAAGGGTCTCCGCTTTATTTTTGTTTTTTGCAACTTCCGAAAGGGTCTGTTGTTTGGTTTGAATGGAATGTTCCAGTCAGCTTCCGGCTAAAGTAATTGCATGAGTTTTGCGGCGGGGCTCAAGTAAAAAAATGGTTCAAAAAAAGAGTGCACCTGGCGCGCACAACACGCTGGTTAAGGCGCTCTCCGTCAGGCACACCTGTCGCGCCCTATTGCAAAGTTCATCCGCGCGTTGGGCCCAGTTCAGGGCTCCCACAGTGAAACCTCAGGCCAGATCTTTGTTTGTCCTTCAGCAGCGATCCGACCATCCGCCGCCAGTAATCGCGCAGTGGTGCCGGACAGCCTTCAGCAGTTTTTGCGCGGGGCCAAGGTGACATTTTAACCATCCGACTGACACCCTCAAATCTTTGCTTCGAAAGGCTTTTGGCGGCAACCATTGTTTGCCGCCACCAGTCCCGGAGTGCCCCTTAAGATCTTGCCTCGAGGGCCTTTGGCGGCCGCAGGGTGACGTTTCAATCATCCACAGTGACACTTCCAGATCTGTGCTTCGAAGGGCCTTTGTAACCAAGATGGAATTTCAACCATCCGACTGTCCGCCGCCAGCAATCCCACAGTGACACTTCCAGATCTGTGCTTCGAGGCCTTTGTAACCAAGGTCAAATTTCAACCATCTGACTGTCCGCCGCCAGCAGTCCCGGTGACACCTCCAGATCTTTGCTTCGAAGGGTCTTTGTAACCAAGGTAAAATTTCAACCATCCGCCTGTCCGATCGAAGCTCGAAAGGCCTTTGGCAGCCGCTGCGTGGGGCCAAGGTGACGCTTCAATCATCCGACTGTCCGCCGCCAGTCCCACAGTGACACTTCCAGATCTGTGCTTCGAAGGGCCTCTATAACCAAGGTGAAATTTCAACCATCCGACTGTGACTCCAGATCTTTGCTTTGAAAGGCCTTTGGCAGCCGCTGCGCGGCCAGGGTGACGTTTCAAGCATCCGACTGTCCACCGCCAGCAGTCCCACGGTGACACCTCCACGCTGCGCGGGGCCAGGGTGACGTTTCAATCATCCAACTGTCGCCGCCAGCAGTCCCACTGTGACACCTCCAGATCTTTGCTTCGAAAGGCCTTGGCAGCCGTTGCGCGGGGCCAAAGTGACATCAATCATCCGACTGTCCTCCGCCAGCAGTCCAACAGTGTTAGAATCTTGGTTACTGCTTCAAGCCGCAAGAATATGAGGCGTTGCTTGGAAGTCAAGGCTCGGAGGTGCAGGGAGAAAGACAATGCGTGTCCTTTCCCCGTGCTTGCACCCCCTGCAGAGTTCTCAAATGCCCCCGTGGTCAACAAAGCGTGACCAAACGCCAGGTGTGTTACCTGTGAAGCGTAAAAAAATCGAAGGCGTTGCTTGCTGAGGATGCCATGCAAGGTTGAGACCTGTCGAGGCGGTCACTGCATGCAGCGGCATGCCATGCGCAGTGCCTGTCAGGCACTGCTGCTCGCCAGCTCTGGGCCTGGAGGATCCTACGCACGTAAAAAAAAGGGATTGGACCCTCACGCATCTCTCTCTTAAGAGAGGGAGTCCCCCAAACGGATTCTATTCCACCTGGTAGGCTCCTGACACTCGTCCGTCCAGGAAACGACCTCGTCCTGCGAAGGATTGGACATCTAAAAATGCTGCGTGCAGGCGTGTGGCTGCAACATAACGACCCCTAGATATGCTTGCAATTTGCCTCCAGGTTGCATTTCAAGCAAGCCAAAATTTGCAGGGCTAAGAAAAAACAAAAAAAGGGAAAAGGGGTTTCCCTTGGCAAAGCTTGACCTTGCTTGAAATGCAACCTGGAGGCAAATTGCAAGCATATCTAGGGGTCGCTATGTTGCAGCCACACGCCTGCACGCAGCATTTTAGATGTCGAATCCTTTGCAGGACAAGGTCGTTTCCTGGACGGACGAGTGTCAGGAGCCTACCAGGTGGAATAGAATCCGTTTGGGAAACTCCCTCTAAAGAGAGAGCTTGGCCTTGTCAGTGTTGATCCATTGTTGATTCAATATTGACTCAATATTGATTCAATATTGATTCATTATTGCCTCAATATTGACTCAACAATGAAGCCTCGACGCCAGCCTGCCGAGCCGCGCCACGTTCCTGCCTGGCATCGAAGCCTCCACGCCAGCCTGCCGAGCCGCGCCACGTTCCTGCCTGGCATCGAAGCCTCCACGCCAGCCTGCCGAGCCGCGCCACGTTCCTGCCTGGCATCGAAGCCTCCACGCCAGCCTGCCGAGCCGCGCCACGTTCCTGCCTGGCATCGAAGCCTCCACGCCAGCCTGCCGAGCCGCGCCACATTCCTGCCTGGCATCGAAGCCTCCACCCCAGCCTGCCGAGCCCGCGCCACCCGAGGTCGGAATTCTTGCCACCGAGGTCGGAATTCCGACTTCGCTCTCCCACCGAGCTCGGAATTCCGACTTCGCTCCAAGCTTCCGATTTTGCCCGAAGAACCCTAGTGCGGGCCGGCGGGCCGGGTGCGGGCCGGGCGCGGCGCCATGCCAAACATGTGCTAAATGCGCTCTGGCCTCGGCCATCTCCGTCCTCACCCGGCTGTGAGACAAGTTGGTGAAGCTCGTGTTGCAGACCACGTTGCCCGTGTTGCCGG